TGGGACGTTTTGGGGTTTTTTTGGGGCAATTTTTTTGGGGGGGTTGGGGGGAATTTCGGGGCGGTTTTGGGGTTTTTTTTGGGGCAATTTTTGGGGTTTTTTTAGGGGGGTTTTGGGGGAGATTTTTGAGGTTTTTACGAGTTTTGGGGTGGATTTTAAGGTGATTTGGGGGTGGGTTTGGGGCGATTTTGGGGGGGTTTTGGGAGATTTGGGGGATTTTGAGGAAGTTTGGAGAGATTCTGGGGCGGTTTCGGGGGATTTCGGGGAGGATTTGGAGGTTTTTGTGACACTTCTGCTATTTTTGGTGCGTTTTTTGATGCCATTTCTGCCACTTTCGTTATTTTTGTGACCACTTGAACCCCATTTCTGCCACTTTCACCACCATTCCCCATCTCACCCTCCCCTCTTTTTTTCCCCCCCACAGACCCCTGGGGGTTCCTGAAGGATTTTTGGGGTCCCTCCCGCTGCGAGCTGAGCCCCACGGCCCCTCTGCCACCACCCCCCGGCCCGGGGATGTCCCCCAAGTGTCCCCAAGGCCAGCGCTGGTGGCTCCTGGCCCTGGGGACCCCCGAGGGGGCGGGGACGGCGCTGCTGCGGCAGTGGGGGAGGGGAGAGCCCCGAGACCCCCCCCGGCTCGATGGTGAGAGGTGGGGGAGGGGCACGGCGGTGCCACCTCCCTCTGGGTGTCCCCAAGTGTCCCCAACCCCCTTCTGGGTGTCCCCAAGTGTCCCCAACCCCCTTCTGGGTGTCCCCAAGTCCCTTCTGGTGTCCCCAAGTTCCTTCTGGTGTCCCCAGCCCTGCTCCTGGTGTCCCCAGGTGTCCCCAACCCCGCTCCTGGTGTCCCCAAGCCCCTTCTGGGTGTCCCCAAGCCCGTTCCTGGTGTCCCCAAGTCCCTTCTGGGTGTCCCTAACCCCATCCTCAGTGTCCCCAAGCCCGTTCTGATGTCCCCAAGCCCCTTCTGGTGTCCTCAACCCCATTCCTGGTGTCCCCAAGCCCCTTCTTGGTGTCCCCAACCCCGCTCCTGGTGTCCCCAAGTCCCTTCTGGGTGTCCCCAAGTCCCTTCTGGTGTCCCCAAGCCTGTTCCTGGTGTCCCCAACCCCATTCTTGGTGTCCTCAGGTGTCCCCAACTCCATTCTCACTGTCCCCAAGCCCCTTCTGGTGTCCCCAAGCCCCTTCTGAGTGTCCCCAACTCCATCCTCAGTGTCCCCAGGTGTCCCCAACCCCGCTCCTGCTGTCCCCAAGCCCCTTCTGGTGTCCCCAACCCCATTCTCAGTGTCCCCAAGCCCCTTCTGGGGGTCCCCAAGCCCCTTCTGAGTGTCCCCAACCCTGCTCCTGGTGTCCCTAGGTGTCCCCAATCCCATTGTCGCTGTCCCCAGCTCCATTCCTGGTGTCCCCAACCCCATCCTCAGTGTCCCCAATCCCATCCTCGGTGTCCCCAGCCCTATTCTTGGTGTCCCCGGGTGTCCCCAACCCTGTTCTCACTGTCCCCAACCCCATTCTCAATGTCCCCAAGCCCATCCTCAGTGTTCCCAGGACCATTCTCGATGTCCCCAGCTCCATTCCTGGTGTCCCCAACCCTTCTCAATGTCCCCAAGCCCATCCTCAGTGTCCCCAACCCCATCCTCGATGTCCCCAAGCTCATTCCTGATGTCCCCAAGCCCATCCCCGCTGTCCCCAACCCTGTCCCTTCTGTCCCCAACCCCACCCCAGCCCCCCAAGCCCTCCCCCTAACTCCCCTCCCCCCACAGTCTCCCTGTTCATCTCCACGCTGACCCCCAACATCCGCGGCCTCCTGGGGACCCCCCAGAGCCTTCACTGCGCCTTCGCCCCCTCCGAGGGTCCCTTCAGCCTCCAGTGGCTTCACCAGAGCCGGGGCCACACCCGGCACCTCCTGGCCTTCGACTCCGCCTCCTCCCGCGTCACCGGCGCCGCCCCGGGGGTCCTGCTGTTCCTGGGGGACCGGGACCACCCCCCCAATTCGGGGGACGCTCAGGTGGGTGGGGTGGGGGAGGGGTTCCTTGAGGGGTTGGGTCCTCCTGGCCACCAGAGGGCGCCACAGGCATGGAACTGTGTCAGTCCTCCCGGCCACCAGGGGGCGTTGTTAGCATGGAACTGTGTCAGTCATCCAGGCCACCAGGGGGCGTTGTTAGCATGGAACTGTGTCAGTCCTCCCGGCCACCAGGGGGCGTTGTTAGCATGGAACTGTGTCAGTCCTCCCGGCCACCAGGGGGCGCCGCTGGCATGGAACCGTGTCTGTCCTCTCCCACAC